TGTATGCATGAAAAAGTAGGTCTTGTACACAGATTGCTTTTCCTAAACCCTCCCTCATCTTTGAGCAATGCTGCCAATTTCATTTTTAAAATGTAGCCCACTTCTGAGTAAGCATGGCAGATTGCTCACTTCTCCCTTCCAAACTCCGCTGAAATGGCAATAAAGGAATCCAGAATATATAAACTCATAAAGAGATAAAGTGAGGGAAGAGATGCACATGGATGAGAGTCCTGCAGATATTTGGAAGAGGGAGAGGAGCAGGCACTTGGCAGAACTATGGATCGCTACTGGCTCCCTGCAAACGACGAAACTAACAAGCAGAAGGGGCTTGGTCTTGCAGAACTCTAGATGCTGAGGACGGGGAGATCCAAACCTACACGTGTGCATGAGGCTTGGACTAAAAACAGGGGAGAAAAGTGGCCTGTATGGGGGAAGGATGTACCCCCTTCCTCCTCCTACAACAGGCACAGCCCAGCTCTCTCCACCCACTCATCGCATCCCTCCCCACCCCAACTGCCCGCAGGAGAGTTGACATTTTCTCCCTGGATAACTGACTGGTTCCAGGGAAAAGACTTCCACATTCTGACATCTTGGAGTCCTGCCCCAATTTGAAAGCCAGTTTGGGCTGGGCATGGTGGCTCATGCCTGTAATCCCAGTACTTTGGGAGGCTGAGGCAGGTGGATCACCTGAGGTCATGAGTTCAAAACCAGCCTGACAAAAAGGGTGAAACCCCATCTCTACTAAAAAAAGAAAAAAACAAACAAAGTTAGCTGGACATGGTGGCACATGCCTGTAATCCCAGCTACTTGGGAGCTGAGGCAGGAGAATCACTTGAACTGGGGAGGCAGAGGTTGCGGTGAGCCAAGATTGTGCCATTGCACTCCAGCCTGGGCAACAAGAGGGAAACTCCTCTCAAAGAAAGAAAGAAGGAAAGAACGAAAGGAAGAAAAGAGGAAGAGAGAAAGAGAGAAAGGGAAGGAGGGAGGGAGGGAGGGAAGGAGGAAGGAAGGGAGGGAGGGAGGGAGGGAGGAAGGAAAGGAAGGAAGGAAAAGCCAGTTTGCTATCTAGCAACCTTGTCATAAATCCTTCTATGGACAGTCCCTCAGAGTCCCCCTTTATGTTTTCGGCGAGTCACACTTAGACAAGAGCAGGCAGCCCAGGATCACCCGATGTTTAAAGACAGCTTCCAAGTTGGAAGAGAGGCATGCAGACAAATAGAAAAAAGGAATTTGGAGAAAGGAGAGATGCTGGAAGGAGTAGAAACAAAAGTGAAAAACATTTGATGAGTAATTTCTTCAGAAAAGTAAAATAAGATGTTCTCTCCATTTAACAGGAGTGAAAGGCTTTATTCTCTTTTTTGGGTGTTACTTTTAAAGGAATTAATGAGAAAACAAAAATGAAATTTTGGAAAGTGTTCAAAAGAAGAGTCAGAATGAAATATGCAAAAGCAAGTTTGGTGGAAGATAAAGTAGAATAAAAATACACAGAGATTTTAAAATAATAATAATTGAAGAAATATAAGAATGAGTATCACTCCAGGAAGTCCAGTTTCCAGCTAATGCCATAAGGGGAAAATAGAGGAGAGAAAATGAGAGGAAAACAATCCCACTCCCCAAAATTGAAACATGTGAGTCTCCAGATTGAGAGGCCCAACTAAATGCCCACACTAAGGTGCACCATCACAAATTTCAGAAAACCCAGAATAAAGAAAAGATTTCTAAAGCTCCCCGAGAGAAAGAAAGAAAAAAAAAACATACAGAAGTTCAGGCATCAGCCTTAGACTTCTAAATAGCTGCACTAAAAGTTAGAGAACAATGACTTCAAGCTTCTGTGTGAAAACGATTTTCAGTCAAGAATGCTTGTAACCAGATGATCAATGAAATAGGTGGCATAAAAGCATCTCAGATATGTAAGGACTCACATTTTACCTCACATGTGTATCCCCTCTTAAGTAGCTGCTGCAGGATGTGCACCAACAAAATGAGGAGGTAAACTAAAAAAAATAATGTGGAACTAGAAGTCATGGGATTCAATGCTGGACAGCAGTGAAGAGAAATGCCAGGATAATAGTGGATAGGCAGCAACCAGTCCAGAGGGGAGCAGGATGGTAGGCACTAGGAGTGATGCACCCCAGGAATCAAAGAAAATGGCACATTTGAGGATATGGAAAATAGGCTTCAGAAACATGAAAGCACTTGGAGAAAAAATTAGCAATTGCCACATAGAATGGTAGCAAATGACAAACAAAAAGTAATGATTAAGTCCAGGAAATAAATGAAGAGAATGGCTCATGCAAAGGGGCTGAGGTAGAAATCAGCCTCATGCATTCAGACACTAGCAAGGAGAGTGGGGCTGCAGCAGAACTGGAGAGGGAAGGAGACTAGGCGATGTGCTCAGAGAGACAAGAAGGGCCAGGACGTTGTGAGGACTCAACCATTTACTCTGAGCAAGATGGGAGCTGCTGCAGTGTTTTGTATAGAAGAGCAACATGATCTGACTTACATGTTGGCAAGATAATTCTGCCTATGTGCTGAGAATAAATGGTAGGAGGGAATCAGTGGAAGTAGGATGCTTTTGCAGTCAGAAGGCCACTGAGGTGATCCAGGTGAATGACGATACTCATGGCCCCATTGGATGATGGTGGCTTAGGCCAGAGTGGAAGCATTGGAGGTTACAGGGATTCACTCATGGTGGTGGAAAATTATTAAGGGAAAGTATTAGAGAAAGTTATAGAATATAGTCTCAAACCCTAATGGAAGGCCTAAGGGTTTCTTCTATAGTTCTTGCATGAAGGGAGCCAGAGTCTTTTTGCAGGAGCCAGAGAGATTAGGGTGCAAATACAAAGGACTCTGAGTAGTTTACCTAGCTAGCTTGTTTGCTCATGTGGTCCTATAAAAGTAACCTTTGTGGTGTTTTTTATTTCGTTTTTTGTTTTTGAGACAGAGTCTTGCTCTGTCACCAGGCTGGAGTGCAATGGTGCAATCTCGGCCCACTGCAACCTCCGCCTCCTGGGTTCAAGCAGTTCTCCTGCCGCAGCCTCCTAAATAGCTGGGACCACAGGTGTGTGCCACCATGCCTGGCTAATTTTTGTATTTCTAGTAGAGATGGGGTTTCACCATGCTGACCAGGATGGTCTCAATCTCTTGACCTCATGATCCACCCGCCTCAGCCTCCCAAAGTGCTGAAATTACAGGTGTGAGCCAGCGTACCCAGCCTAAAATTAACCTTTGATCATTGCAGATGGCTCTCTCCAAGGGAGGCTGACCAAGGATATTACCCACTAATGGTGTCTGCTTTAGGCATCAGAACCTGTCCTTTAATCTTTAACCTCTAGTGGTGTTGACTCTAGCCTTTGTCAATTAAACTGTACTGAATAAATGTGAGTCTCGCTGGCTGGTGAGGGCCAGTGGTTGCAACTGTTTACAGCACTCTCCAAGTTGTCTGTAAGCAGCCACGGACACTCAGTGAAACTGGCAAAGCATAATATCTGTGTGTCAGTACACTTTATTCATCCGTCACTGAGTCAAGGTCTGCAGGACAGGCCTCCACAAGTAGTAACCCCAACAGAAGGTGGTGAGAAGCAACTGGATTTGGGATATTTTGAAGGCAGAGCCAAATACTCCTTATAGAATGAAGGATATGAAAGAAAGAGAAATCAAAGATGGCCTGAGCAACCGGAGGGATGAAGTTGTGGTCAAATGAGGTGAGACCACAATTGGAACAATTTTCCCATCACCTGCTGCTGAACCAACCTAAACTTATAGATGTAAAGCAACAATCATTAATTATTATTAGCTCTGATGACCCTGGCAGTTAACTGGCTCAGCTAGGCAGGTCGCACTCTGTGGTTGGGGCTAGAGTCATCTCAAAGGCCTCCTCATTCACATGTCTGATTCCTCTACAAGAAGGTTCTTAGAGCTCGGGGATGGACTGGCAGGGGCTCCTTGGGGCTCTCTCTCTATGCTCTCTGGACAGGATCTCTCCAGCGTGGTGGCTTCAGGATAGCCAGGCTTCCTGTATGGTGATCCAGGGCTCCAAAGGCGCAGGTCCTAAAAATAAGAGGGTAGCTGTATCTTGCTGTACGGCCTGTGTCAGAAGCAACACAGCATCATTTCAGCAGCATTCTGTTCCTTAGCGCTGGGTCACCATGTGCAAGCAGGAAGGGAATCAGATTCCTCGTCTTGATGAGAAGAGAATCCAAGAATGTTAGATATGTTTTCAAACCACCGAAGCAGGTTTTGAGGAGACCGTAAGAGTTGAGGAGCATTTTGAGTTAAACATTATTTGCATAGTCATTATAAACACTATCAATTTAACCAAAGTTGTGATATGACCACATTATGGGAAGACTGAGCAGCTGAAGTGATGGGGTCATTGGGACAGGCAGGGCCTGGTTCCCGCCCCCCACCATAATAGGCACATATAAAGAAAGAATTAAGAAAGAAAAGAACAGTGACATCAGTCAGAAATCCAGGGATAAACACAAAGTGAAATACACAGAAGAAGTAAGGATTGTTCCTTCTCAGGAGCAGGATGGAATGAGGAGGACGGGGCGGGAGGGGATTAGTGAGTTTCAATATGGCTTTTAGTACCATTTGACTTTTTTTTTTTTGAGACAGAGTCTCGCTCTGTTGCCCAGGCTGGAGTGCAGTGGTGTAATCTCAGCTCACTGCAACCTCCACCTCCAGGGTTCAAGTGATTCTTGTGCTTCAGCCTCCTGAGTAGCTGGGATTACAGGTGCCTGCCACCACGCCTGGCTAATTTTTATATTTTTAGTAAAAACAGGTTTTCACCATGCTGGCCAGGCCAGTCTCGAAGTCCTGACCTCAGGTGATCCACCCCCTCAGCCTACCAAAGTACTGGCATTACAAGCATGAGCCACTGTGCCTGGCCTCCACTTGACTTTTTAATTAATGTACAAGTATTACTCTGGTAAAGTAACTGTTTTAAAAGGACATAAATGTCATTTCTATAAAATTGATGTTAAAATGATAGAAAAGTGCTTCCTTCAGCAGCACATACACTAAAATTGCAATGATACAGAGATGAGCATGGCCCCTGAGCAAGGATGATATGTGAATTCATGAAGCATTCCAGATATCTTTTACATAAAAATAAATTTTTTTAACTCAAAAGTTTTAAAACTGAGAGAAAAAAATGCCAAAATCTGGGCAACATAGTGAGATCCCATCTCTAAAAAATAAAAATTAAAGAATTTGCTGGGCATGGTAGTGAGCATCTGTAATCCCAGCTACTCAGGAGGCTGCAGTGAGAGGATTGCCTGAGTCCAGGAGTTTGAGGTTGCAGTGAGCCATGATTGAACCACTGCACTCAATCTGGGCTACAGAACTAGACCTTGTCTCTTAAAAAATAAAAACTAAGGCCAGGCACAGTGGCTCATGCCTGTAATCCCAGCACTTTGGGAGGCCAAGGCAGGTGGATCATCTGCGGCAAGGAGTTCAAGACCAGCCTGGCCAACATGGTAAAACCCCGTCTCTACTAAAAATATTAAAAAAAAAATTAGCCAGGTGTGGTGGCAGGTGCCTGTAGCACCAGCTACTTGGGAGGCTGAGGCAGAAGAATCGCTTGAACCCAGGAGGCGGAGGTCGCAGTGAGCCGAGATCACACCATTGCACTCCAGCCTGGGCCACAAGAGCAAAACTCCATCTCAATAAATAAATAAAACTTTTAAAAATAGCAGGGTGTGGTGGCTCACGCCTGTAATCCCAGGCAGATCACGAGGTCAGGAGTTCGAGACCAGCCTGGCCAACATGGTGAAACTCTGTCTCTACTAAAAATACAAAAATTAGGCAGATGTGGTTGCCGATGCCTGTCTTCCCAGCTACTCAGGAGACTGAGGCAGGAGAATCACTTGAAACCTGGAGGCAGAGGTTGCAGTGAGCCAAGATCACACCATTGCACTCCAGCCTGGGTGACAGAGCAAGACTCCATCTCAAAAAATAAATAAATAAACACAAATTTAAAAGTTAAAAAATTTTACAAAGCCGCATCCCTATGGCAAGTGCAATTTAAGGAAATACTTCCGCCCAGTCCCTTTCCCCTCTGTGCCTTCCCCTGGTGTCTCTGGCTTCAAAGAGTTCTCAGACTCACATAATTGATTGGCCCGGTGCTTTCCCACCAACGACCATTGTGGCTTCCCAGGTTTCACATGCCTACCACCCGCCTCCTGATCCTTTGGAGCTCATGCCCATTGCAAAGGAGAAAGCTGGTGAGTTCCCATGTTCATTAAAAGGTGGATGAGAAGCAGACCTCCCAGCTTACGGTTTAATGGTGTCTCCAGGATAAAAATGATAGCTGCCGTCATGAAGATGATCTGGCAGGTGGCATGGGGGACAGAGGTGGGGGGAACATTCCTGGAGTGAAGTCCATCTCTCTAAATTAAGTGCATTAATTTTCTCTAATAAAGACGCGCCTGTCATGAATTCCACTGCCTGGAAGAGATATTTGATACAGCAACTGTGATGGCCCCTGGCTGGAAATACTCCATTTCCCCTTAGTCACCCTCGTCGGGGCAGGGTAAGCCTGCGGGCTAAAGGAACAGAAAGAAGCAAACAAATCTGTGGAATGAAATTCCTTGGTTCACAGGAAAACTGCAGTGAGAGGAGTAGGGAGCAGGGGACAAGGTTCTCAGCAGAACTTTGGGTTTTTCTCTTGTCCTCAGTGCAATAAGGGTTGTGGGCACAAATCTGGGATATAGAAAATCAGTCCCGAGTAGGGGGTGGGCCCGAGAGAGAAACCCAACCCAGGAGGCAAAGTCATTGTCATCACCGTTAACCCTCTGCAGACCAGAAACCACCAGTACAGCCAACTAACCCTGATTATTATTGTATTTGAAAGAACCCTTGTGTGATGTTCCCCAAATTTGCCAATGTGCGACACCATGGTAACCGTGATAGTGGAGTGGTTTTCACGGGCAGACACAACAGCCTGCCATGGTCAGGTGCACAGAAGCCTCTCAGGCCTGGGATGGCAGAGGGGACAGACATGAACAGAATCCATCTGTGTCCCGAGGCTGCTCTCGTCAGACCTACAGCCCACAGCGGCTGAGGTGCCTGCATTTTCCTCCGCAGCAGGAGCCGTGGTTTGCACCCTTGCTCTGCCACATGCCTCGTGGTTAATCCAGTTCTTTTAATGGCACCAGGGTGGAAGCGAGTGAAGGGGGAGGCGTGGTTGGCTTCTCCCTCGGTGGCCTTGCGTTTTGACAAACAACAGCAGGTCCCCTCGGGGTCTCTGGTCTAACCTGAATTTGATTTTTTTTTTTTTCAGTCTCATGCTAGTGATTGAAGGGAATGAGATTGTGATCTCCCTCATGACACTAATAAATATCCTTCATCAAAGGTGACACTGTACTTTGGGGCTGAAATCTGAAACTTAACCAATGGCAGTTCTGGTCCAGCCTGGAGAGGCTAGGTGACAGCTTGTTACCTTCAGCTTCATTTATTAACATCAGCTGAATAAACAAATCCCTATGGGACCATAGCCCTGCTCCCCAGGAACCCCTCCCACTGGTTCTCAAAACTCTGCTGATTGAAGAGTTTTGAATTGAAGCCATCTTGAATAAGAAGGTCCCACTGGAAGGAATTCAATGGCAGCTGAGTAATTCTGGAAATAAGCACTTCACCTTCAGGAACGCCGGTGGGACCACTCACTTTTTCATTCCATCCTTCCAGTATTTAGCTGGTACCAAACAACCTGTTGACTTGGCAGTCCAGGCCATCCATTAAAAATACTGATGAAGGCCAGCCGCGGTGGCTCACGCCTGTAATCCCAGAACTTTGGGAGGCCAAGGCAGGCAGATCACGAGGTCAGGAGCTCAAAACCATTTTGGCCAATATGGTGAAACCTCATCTCTACTAAAAATACAAAAATGAGCTGGGCATGGTGGCACTCACCTGTAGTCCCAGCTACTCAGGAGGCTGAGGTTGGAGAATTGCTTGAACCCAAGAGGCCGAGGTTACAGTGAAACAAAATCACAGCATTGCACTCCAGCCTGAGCAACAAGAGTGAGACTCTGTCTCAAAAAAAAAAAAAAAAATACTGTGGAGCCCCTGCTAGGTCCAGTAGGGAAGCAAACACACACTCTGCCCTCAGGGAGCTTATAGTCTAGTGATAAAACAGGAGCCGTGAGTGACAGGATGAAGTTCCCGTGGTTCCAGGAACAGAAATGATGGAGGAGTGTTGATGACGGCCTCCCCAGGGAAGTGATGTTTAGACTGAGAGACAGTGTAGCCAGCGTCAGAAGCCAGGTCTTCTCATTTCTGCTTGCCAGCGTTAATTTCACAAAGCCCCTCATTCTGTGACCATATACAGCTCTTCAAAAAGATGCTTTGAAGACAAAAGAGGACAGAGCACATGGCCAGGGGAGGTGGTCCCCAAAACCCCATTAAGGAGCTGCTCATTCCAAGGACAACAGGAATCCAGTCAGTGGAGGGGTGACATGATCAGATTTGCATGTTAACGTCATCCTAGTTCCAGTGTGGACAATGCGTTAGAGAGGGACAGCAGTGAAGGCCTGGAAGCCAGTTTAGGAGGCGCTTGCCCTCATCCAAGTGAGATGCGACATGAGCTAAGCCAGGCTACAGGCAGAGTGGGTGGAGAGCTGGGATGGGGACAGACACAGATCTCTTATTTATTTATTTATTTATTTATTGTGTTTTTTTATTTTATTTATTTATTTATTTTGGAGGCAGAGTCTCACTCCGTCGCCCAGGCTGGAGGGTAGTGGTGCAGTCCAGCCTCACTGCAACCTCCGCCTCCGGGTTCAAGTGATTCTCCTGACTCAGCCTCCCAAATACCTGGGATTACAGGCACTGGCTACCACGCTCAGCTAATTTTTGTATTTTTAGTAGACATGGGGTTTCACCATGTTGGCCAGGATGCTCTCAAAGTCCTGACCTCGTGATCCACCCGCCTCAGCCTCCCAAAGTGTTGGGGTTACAGGCATGAACCACTGCACATGGCCTATTTATTTATTTTTTTGAGAGATGGGGTCTCACTTTGTTGCCCAGGCTGGAGTGCAATGGCGCAATTACAACTCACTGCAGCCTTGACCTGGGCTCAAGCAATCCTTCTGCCTCAGCCTCCCAAGTAGCTGGGACTACAGGTGCATGCCACCATGCCTGGCTAATTTTTAAACTTTTTGTAGAGACATGGTTTCACTATGTTGCCCAGGCTGGTCTTGAACTCCTGGCCTCAAGCAATCCTCCCCAGCTTGGCCTCCCAATTTGCTGAGATTACAGATGTGAGCCACTGTGTCCAGCCTGGAAATCTTTCTAATATATAAGAAGTTCTTGGCTGGGAGTGGTGGCTCAGGCCTATAATCTCAACACTTTGGAAGGCTGAGGCAGGCAGATCACTTGAGGTCAGGAGTTTGAGAACAGCCTGGCCAACATGGCGAAACCCTGTCTCTACAGAAAATACAAAAATTAGCCGAGCATGGTGGTGCACACCTGTAGTCCCAGCTACTCAGGAGGCTGAGGCAGGAGAAATGCTTGAGCCCAGAAGGCAGAGGCTGTCATGAGCTAAGATCATGCCATTGCACTCCAGCCTGGGCAATGGAAGTAAGACTGTCACAGACACAAACACACACACACACACATTCTTAAAAATTGAGTGGGCTGGGCACAGTGTCTCACTCCTGTAATCCTAGCAAGGTGAGTGGATCATGAGGTCAGGAGTTCAAGACCAGCCTGACCAATATGGTGAAACTTTGTCTCTACTAAAAATATACAAACATTAGCTGGGTGGGGTGGTGTGCACCTATTATAATCCCAGTTACTTGGGAGGCTGAGGCTGGAGAATCACTTGAACTGAAGAGGTGGTGGCTGCAGTGAGCCAAGATCATGCCAATGCACTCCAGCCTAAGTGACAGAGCAAGATTCCATCCAAAAAAAAAAAATCAAGTGAAAAAATAGAAAAATGAATGAAGACAGAAGAGTTCATAGAACAAGATTTACAAGTCTCCCATAAACATGAAAATATGCTCGTCTTCACTCATTAGAAAAATACAAATTGAAACTACACTGAAACCATCTGTCACCTAAAAATTCAAAAACCTGCCAGCACTCACTGTTGGGGAAAAG